ACTTATAGAAACACATCAGTCACACCTTATTACGACTTATAGAAACATATCAGTCAATGTTGACTCCAACAATATGTAATAAACTATATAAACTCTATAATAAACTTTATTGTTGTCAAAGATAAAATAAAGCAAACATAAAATTGTAAATAAACACTAGGGGAGGTCACAAATATTGGATGAAGGCCCCTCTGGGTTTTGGAAATAATCAGTTCAAGTTGAGTTCAAAAAGCAGCATGTAGTCAGTGCAGCTGAAATATGATCTAGTTTCTTTGTTCATGAGATTTTTTCAAGGTAACGCCCAACAATGGGACAAAGCTCGCTGCATTTAAAATCCATCTTTATTGTTCTTCATACATTTGTCATTCTGCGACGTATCAATATCAGTAAAATACTCATAATAACGTGATATTGATTTTAACTCCCAATTCATAAGCTTTCAGCTGACAAAAAAAAAGAGAAAATGTAAAAAATAAAAATAGTGTTACAACTGTTCCCAGGCCCCATTACACAACCCTCACTATCTCTGTTATCAGCTCGGTATTTAAGTCGCTCTGCTTCCTCCACAGGTAATCTCAGAAAATGGAGGGAGGACATTTGTGAGTATAAACCTCTGTGTTTACAACCAAGTTGTTCTCAGAATGTAAAGAATACAGTTCATCAGTCGCAACACTTGGTCCAACCTCTGTGTCATTGCAGCGGCTACCCTCAGGACTATTTCGACCGCTTCATCCAAAGCCAAGACTCGTCTGTGGTGAACAAGTTCCAGCAGAGGTACTGGAAGACCAAGCAGACGCTCATTAAGGTCACCGGGAAGAAAGAGGACGAACACGTGGTGGCGTCAGATGCGGATCTGGATGGCAAGCTGGAGGTGAGGAGGGAATTTGAAACCGTTGTAGTATGTTAAGTAACTCGGGTAAAAGAAAGTCACTTTGCAGATACATTAAGAAACATCGTCGATTCTTTCCCTTCAGGCGCCGACTAAAATGGCTTTTTGATTCACACGATGCCAGTATTTGCTTGGGGCCTAAAACGTACATTAGGCTGCCTCCTCCCCCCCCCCCCCCCCCCCCCCGTCATCCATGCCTCCATTTCAGGAG